AAGTCAGGTTCAACAACCAACACAACAACCAACGTCAAACAATGACGCCAAGGTTTTCAATCCTGATGACATTCACTCAATTCTTGCTTCCAAGAAAGCAAACAACAAAATCTACTACAGAGTGAAATGGACAGATCCAGAAAGAGGAAACACATGGGAATATGGCAGCACCATTCCAGACTCAATTCAGAGAGAATTTCACGTCAAGAGAAATATGCCAGGAAAACGACGAAAACGGCCACTAAAGAATCACAAATTTTTCAACCAAAGAGAATCAACACAAAACGATAAATCAGTCAATGTACTGTCAAAAAGTTTCAGACAGCAATCAATCATTACAGACCCAGTATTGGACGTTGAACCATACCCAATGGAACCTATACACCTACGAGAAATCAATCCAAATATAAAGAGAGTTATGGGCATTGAAATAGTTCAAGGAGACTGGTATGTCAAAGTCTCATATAGCTATGACAAAAGAGATCATAGATATCATACAGCGTATTTTGAAGCTGTTCCTCTCCACCTCATACAGGATTACCTCAATGAGAGCTGGGTGGATCTCTGTAAATAGTTTGATACTGACACCCCAGAGGATTATGATTCTCCTGGTGAATTACCCATCTATAAATCCAAACGCTCTTTTGCACAAGAAGAAGACTTCGAAAGTGTTAGCTCCTTTGTATACCGTGCAGTGCACACTGCTTACAGACCCACGTTACCATACCAATATTTGCTCCCGATATATACCTGTGGTCGCCGATAGCCATATACCTGCGAAAAATACAGGATCTTCTTTTTCAACGTGCATGTTATCTTGGTTGAAAGCTAGTTCCCCATCGACCATATGAACGCTGTTGACAACCTCTGGCTGCTGCATTAACTTCAAAGGCATGTATATTTGTGTCAAGTCATTTCACATTGTGTTACCTGATGACACTAGTTGTGAACAAATGGCATCAGCCTGATCATCTGAGTTATTTGCATCACAACAACTTTTGAGCATTGATCTGATCAACCAATCTCAAAAGCAATGTGAACTTAACCATCGCTAAAGCGAACCAGAATACACCGTGCGGACTTAACTTAACCAGCGAGAAGCGAAACCGAAATACACCGTGCGAGCGAACTTAACCAACGCGAAAGCGAAACCGAAATACATGCGTTATGGAACAAACATAAACAAGCGAAGCGAAAAGCCGAAATAAATCGTGCTGAAGCAAAACAAACTTAATCGGGCTGCGAAGCGAGGCGAAATAAACCAAGCGAAGCGAAGCTTAATTAAACCGAACCTCAGCCAAATGTACAGGCTGAGCAGAAGCAAAATGAACCAAAATTTGAGTGAAGTAAACTCAAACTAATAAATCAAAATAAACCAAAGCTAAAATAAAATAAAATTAAACGAAAAAAAATCCCTAAACAATTAAGATGTTTAAAATGTTGAAACTAACAAAATCAGCCAAATTAACAAGGTACCTAACAAATGGTTCAAAACAAAAAAAGTCAGTGTATGATTTCAAAACCAATGCACTTGTTAAATGCACAAGCACATGTATATATATATTTGCTTATACATAACATTTCTATCCTAACAGGAGATACTTACTAAATCATGTACATTGTGTTATTAACTGCCCATGCATTATTCCAGGTCATGACTTCAATATATAAACGTCACCTTATACAATGCACTAACAGACAATTTATTTGCAGGGTATTGTATTATAAACTTACTTCATGTACATTTTGTATGTATCCCGTACAAAACAGGAAAATATTAGAATTCTTATAAATATAATTTGCCACAAGCTTACTCTCATTTGTTTTGTATTTTCATACAAATCATCTGTCTGCATGGGATATGGACAAGTTGGCTCCAAAATCAGGATGTGGAACCATCACAAGGCCTCCTGGAAACATCAAGAACCAGAACACAGAGCCAAGACAAGCCAGATTCCACATCCAGACGACAGCGGAAGGAACTTGTGCCCCAATACCAAAGAGACAATATAATTACCATTTAAATATTCTACCAAGTTCCATCAACTAAGTTTATACCATTGTCCATCTAAGAATTTTTGGGGGGACCAAACTTTTTCAGACAGCGGGGAAGTTATCATGGAATAATAATTCATACGAAAATTCATGATTAATTATGACAACTACAAACAATATATTAGGATTCAGATATTAGGAAAATATAAATATAGAATATTAGTTTCATCATACTTCAGTAATAGCTTAGAGAAAGACTCAAGTCAAAAGTTGTAAAACTCATCTCATCTCACAGACATACTATTGAAAAAGGTATAAATTACGGCTACACAATTTCACAGATATTCAAGATAAAATCCTAGCCTAAGGTATTGAGGACTCAAGCTGTTAGCAACCCTTTCAGTAATTCAGAGTTATGACCAGACGATTAAATGAACTACCTTCATAAAGTAAACATGTCATCATCTATATTACAAAACTTTAAGCAAACACCAATTAAGGGTTATAAAGACATGGCCCACAGTAAATGCATCTTTTGTAATCCAAGCACCTATAATTGACACATCAGATTAGGCTCGTTAAGATCTAGCCCAGGGTAAGCATCCAAGCATCCAGTAAAAGTGCCAACAAGATAAGTGCCAGTTAAAATAGGATTAACAGGATTAAGAGTAATTGCCCTGTCTGGTCATTGAAGGACACACCCCATTTTGTATATTCTGTATTTGATAGGCTAATGTAGGTTACACCCATTTTTGTATCAGTCAACCAATCGTAATCTCTTTATTGTTTTAATTGTAGATAAAAAGTCTCTAACTGCATTTGTCCATCAGTAGGGTTTAGACTCCCAACACAGGTCAGCTCTAGCCCTATGCCCAGAGGGTTGTACCGACTCTCTGTGGCCACCCCATGTTATTCCGTTCTTGTAAATAAAATTGTGATTAGCTTCTTGTGACTTCAGACTCTTTGCTGAGTTAATTCCCCCAAGCAGACCAGCACGCCAGTTAGATAAGGGGTTTCACCAGAACCCTCACTTGGACCCAAGACCCTTATCATAATAGTATTTTCAATACTTTGTAAGGCCTCCTTGCAATGCTATACACGACTGAATGCATCTAGGTACACTACCGATCAAAGTTTTTAGGAAATTGTGTGACAGTGTATCCCAATATTCAACCACTTCTTTCTTCATATCCTCAATATTTCTAAGTCCTTTTTGGTTTATTCTGTCCTAGCTGGGCCAGTCTAAAACTTGAACATTTTTGTGTAGCCAGCAACGTGTTTTGGGTCGCCAACATGCTGGAAAATCCATACAGTGTTCGAGCCGTTGGAAGGAGGTAATCATTTAAGATATCAATAAATCGTTCCTTCATCAAATTTCAAGTGAAAATACACAACGGCGTCACTCCATTGATGATATCCCACCCACATGTGAATTTTATGTTATGGGTGTTGGTAGATAGGTTTCACGATATCTTTTGTCTAAATTTTCACACAGTTCAGAAAAAGCCAGACAGAACTTTCATCAGAAAAGAAAACATTATCCCAATCTTGATTTATTTTTGTGCATCTTTCATCAATGTTAAGTCTTTGTAATTCTTGTCAAAGGGTTTCATTACATAATATTCTTCATTAAATAATATTCTTCAAAGTTTTGTATACTGTAGACAGAGGAATGTCATGTCTACCAGCTAACTCTTTTGCATTAGTCACACCCCTTTCAAAATCATCTAGAACCATTTTCTTTTCTTTTCTCTTCTGCTGTCAAATCTGCCATGTCAGCAAAGGAAGTCGTCTGCTACACCAGGGGAGATAACTCTTGATGTGGTAAGGTTCATTCTTAAGCCTGCAAGAGTTGCCTCCCATATTGAGTACCTTACTACATAATGTAACACCTATTTTAAAATTCTATTATCAGTATAAGGAAACAAAGATTTCCTCAATAATTTCTGGGAAAATGTTAACTAAAGGACTGTTCATAATTTATGGCTAGGGGGGGGGTGATGATGATTTTTATGGAGAAGCATGTACAATGTGAATGCCCCCCCCAAAAAAAATTTATGTGCAAAATAAGTGACCCCCTGCATGTCATGTACAAAATCAGTACCCCCTCTCCCTTCCCATAATTTCTAAGCATAATTTTTAACATTTTTTTTATGTGCAAATTGCTGACACCCCCTCCCCAGTATGTGTGTACAAAATTTATGACCCCCTAGCTCCCTAGAACAAAATGGGTGACCCCTTAAAATCATCACTCACACACACACACCCCACCCAACCGCCCCAAGCCATAAATTATGAACGGTCCCTAAACATGAAACAATGATTCCAGTATGGACACTGCAATAAGCCACATGGGCCTTTGGTCCTGTAGAGGCTCTACAGGATGTGTAGTAGATGGAAACTGTGACTGTCCACTCAGTGAAATAAACATGCTATTGTTAGCCATATAGTCTCAATATATAGCATCAATGATGAACATTCAACCATCATGGGATCTCATAGGGTTGGACAGTTTCATTTCAACATATAACCCATACTCACTTTCAGACGTTCAATTTAAGGTTAATTTCTTTACCTCAGATTCATAGGTATTGTTGCAGATGATTACAAGGTAAATTATCCATTTGATATTTTAATCAGTTCAGGAAAAATGTTGTAGATAAATGGACTACAAACATCTGGCCTGCTGTGAAGTCACTTGCACCATCAATACTGGTATTCTGAAACTAGGGACTAGTATCGGTAACTATTGCTCATCAGGTACATTTCAAAAGAGCCTAATATCATATCTAATTAGTGAAACATTTAACCATCATGTAACAATCACTTGGACATCTAATAAGATGACCTCTTCCTAAAGTTGGGGATTCTTTAGCATACAGAGTGAAAGTCTCTCAAATACTTAAAGCCCCAAATATGCAAGACAAAATTATTTTTAATTGTTACCATTTTTTTCTAGGGTTGTAAGTGGGAAGAATGTAAGGAAGTGGTTCATACACTGTTACCTGTTTCATGTTTTCATAACTGATGACAAGAAGTGCCCGGTCTGGATGCTTGACTTTCATGGCAGACCAGCGGATGATGTGCTCCCACCAGGAGTTAAAGGGAACTGCAAGTAAGCCCAGCACCACTATCTGATTTGTCCATACTATTGTTAGAATCATTATAGGCCCTTGATTAATTTTATATCAGCATATTTCAACTTGATCGATATGAACAGTGTTTACATCATCATTTTATTGGCCTAGATACTAAACTATGTCTTAATTGATAAAAATTTGGAAGTAACCATAATGAATTAAGTCTCAGGAACTGAAACACAGATCCTGAGTTTGTGACCTCTCTCCACTTCAACACATTGACTGCCACCCGAGTATACTCGTAGTATCAATGTCTGGCCGAATTTGCCACTAAGAGTTATCTCGTAGCTACATCAATGGTATTTTGAAACAGGTTTCACATGTTGACAAAACAGGCACAAGAAGCAATCGTCTCCTGGCGGTAACAAAGAACGCCAGTGGACGTTTGTTTCTTGTGCCAATTTTGCCAACAAGTGAAACTTGTTTCAAAATACCAATTTACCACTACGAGATAACTCGTAGTGGCAAACTCATCCAGAATTGATTCTACGAGTATACTCGTGAAAGGCAGTCAACGTGTTAATACATTCAAATTGTTTCTTCATATAATCAGTTTAGTATGACAGCGACAATAGGGTGGAGAGACCATCTAATGACAGCTACAGTAGGATGGAGAGACCATGTAGTGACAGCTACAGTAGGGTGGAGAGACCATGTAGTGACAGCTACAGTAGAGTGGAGAGACCATGTAGTGACAGCTACAGTAGAGTGGAGAGACCATGTAGTGACAGCTACAGTAGGGTGGAGAGACCATGTAGTGACAGCTACAGTAGAGTGGAGAGACCATGTAGTGACAGCTACAGTAGAGACCATGTGGAGAGACCATGTAGTGACAGCTACAGTAGGGTGGAGAGACCATGTAGTGACAGCTACAGTAGGGTGGAGAGACCATGTAGTGACAGCTACAGTAGAGTGGAGAGACCATGTAGTGACAGCTACAGTAGGGTGGAGAGACCATGTAGTGACAGCTACAGTAGAGTGGAGAGACCATGTAGTGACAGCTACAGTAGAGTGGAGAGACCATGTAGTGACAGCTACAGTGGAGAGACCATGTAGTGACAGCTACAGTAGAGTGGAGAGACCATGTAGTGACAGCTACAGTAGAGTGGAGAGACCATGTAGTGACAGTGACAGTGACAGTAGTAGGGTGGAGAGACCATGTAGTGACAGCTACAGTAGGGTGGAGAGACCATGTAGTGACAGCTACAGTAGGGTGGAGAGACCATGTAGTGACAGCTACAGTAGGGTGGAGAGACCATGTAGTGACAGCTACAGTAGGGTGGAGAGACCATGTAGTGACAGCTACAGTAGGGTGGAGTGGAGAGACCTGACAGCTACAGTAGGGTGGAGAGACCATGTAGTGACAGCTACAGTGACAGGGTGGAGAGACCATGTAGTGACAGCTACACAGTAGAGTGGAGAGACCATGTAGTGACAGCTACAGTAGAGTGGAGAGACCATGTAGTGACAGCTACAGTAGAGTGGAGAGACCATGTAGTGACAGCTACAGTAGGAGGAGTGGAGAGACCATGTAGTGACAGCTACAGTAGGGTGGAGAGACCATGTAGTGACAGCTACAGTAGAGTGGAGAGACCATGTAGTGACAGCTACAGTAGAGTGGAGAGACCATGTAGTGACAGCTACAGTAGGGTGGGAGAGACCATGTAGTGACAGCTACAGTAGTAGGAGTGGAGAGACCATGTAGTGACAGCTACAGTAGAGACCAGGGTAGTGAGAGACCATGTAGTGACAGCTACAGTGACAGCTACAGTAGGGTGGAGAGACCATGTAGTGACAGCTACAGTAGAGTGGAGAGACCAGTGACAGTTACAGTAGTGACAGTACAGTAGAGTGGAGAGACCATGTAGTGACAGCTACAGTAGAGTGGAGAGAGTGGAGAGACCATGTGTAGTGACAGCTACAGTAGAGTGGAGAGAGACCATGTAGTGACAGCTACAGTAGAGTGGAGAGACCATGTAGTGACAGCTACAGTAGAGTGGGAGAGACCATGTAGTGACAGCTACAGTAGAGTGGAGAGGATGAGAGACCATGTGGAGAGTGACAGCTGACAGTAGAGTGGAGAGAGACAGCTACAGTAGAGTGGAGAGACCATGTAGTGACAGCTACCATGTAGAGTGGAGAGACCATGTAGTGACAGCTACAGTAGTAGTGACAGCTACAGAGAGACCATGTAGTGACAGCTACAGTAGAGTGGAGAGACCATGTAGTGACAGCTACAGTAGTGTAGTGGAGAGACCATGGAGTGACAGCTACAGTAGAGTGGAGAGACCATGTAGTGACAGCTACAGTAGAGTGGAGAGACCATGTAGTGACAGCTACAGTAGAGTGGAGAGACCATGTAGTGACAGCTACAGTAGGGTAGAGAGACCATGTAGTGACAGCTACAGTAGGGTGGAGAGACCATGTAGTGACAGCTACAGTAGAGTGGAGAGACCATGTAGTGACAGCTACAGTAGGGTAGAGAGACTATGTAGTGACAGCTACAGTAGGGTAGAGAGACTATGTAGTGACAGTAGAATGGTAAACATTGACAATGACACATGTTCACACTTTACCTACCTTTTCCTTCGAGAAATAATGGAACAAAGTCACTGAACTGTCCTTCATAATCAAGTGGTTTCAATTGAGTGAGATGATTGTAATATGAGACACAAATGTCTTTTGGGTCACGAATCAAGTACACTATCTTACACCCCAGCTCAAAGGTTTCCTTTTGGAGTTCCTCAGGGTATCTGTGAGTTGTCAGTGTCCTTGGTGATGCATGTCTCTCAATATGATCCAAAGGCATAAAATCTGTTATATGACCTTCCATGATTTCCTTAATCGGTGTTGAGTTTCCTGATCTCAGCATGGTTACAATTTCCCAAATCCAGTGGAATCCTGTACACAGCATATTGATCAAGTTAGCAACATTTAAATTACTTTCATTCTTACAGCAGAAATGTATGACCCTACACAGCAAAACTCACAAGCGGTTACCACAAAATGTTTTTTCTTTTAATGTTATATGGAGAACTAATTATTTTGGATTTGCAATTAACAGTTCTGAGACAGATAGTCTTGACTTTCCGGAAGGTCTTACCAGATTTGGGGTATGAACAAATATAGACATCATCAGATCTGGTGTTCATCGTCCTGAGGGAATACCAGTGGTCAGGTGACCCAGAAGGGGTCAGGTATCGTCCATCCACATCCTTCAGGGTCATTGAACACCCACCAGCATCTGGGAACTTGACTAGGCTCATTGGTTCAATCGTACCAACCAAACGTAGGTTTTCCTACAATATGAAACCAGTAAAACTGTCATTAGTCATTATTTCAAAAACTGCTGAGAATTAAGCATGTCCAAAATACTGGCTCTGGAGCACACCTTCCTGTAAAGCAATAGGTACAGAGAATAACATGCTTTTATGTTTGTTTCATTCAGCAGTCTGGAATATTCCAACCGTATGTGTAGATGGTCTATAACTACTCCAGGCTGGACGAGGCGATCCAGTGATTGACGTCATGAGCACAAATGGGACATGATGACATGCATCATCTAAGTCAGTGAGCCTAACCACCCGATCCGTAAGTTGTCCTTTAAGAAAAACATGGGTAGATGAAGACCACTCTCCACATGTATAATACTGAAGAGAAACTTTGATAATAGACACAAAGTAAAACAGCTCTGATATAGTTGAGAAGAGTTCAATGACAAAAAGACCAATGTGGGATCATGAATGCAAAGTTATACCTTTATTGCCTTAATGATAATGATTTCATAAAATTATCTCCAACAACACCTTGAGGCCCCACACTGTGCAGGGCGGGAGGTGACAGAGGTTGTTACAGTGTCCACTTGAAATCCACAAATAAAAGCCTAAAGAAACCCTGTATGACAATCTGAGGGAGGTGACTACAGTACGGACTGTAAGCTGAGGGAAGGTGACTACAGTACGGACTGTAAGCTGAGTGGAAGGTGACTACAGTACGCACTGTAAGCTGAGTGGAAGGTGACTACAGTACGGAATGTAAGCTGAGGGAAGGTGACTGCAGTACAAGGACTGTAAGCTGAGTGGAAGGTGACTGCAGTACGCACTGTAAGCTGAGTGGAAGGTGACTACAGTACGGACTGTAAGCTGAGTGGAAGGTGACTACAGTACGGACTGTAAGCTGAGTGGAAGGTGACTACAGTAAGAACTGTAAGCTGAGTGGAAGGTGACTACAGTACGCACTGTAAGCTGAGTGGAAGGTGACTACAGTACGCACTGTAAGCTGAGGGAAGGTGACTACAGTACGGACTGTAAGCTGAGGGAAGGTGACTACAGTACGGACTGTAAGCTGAGGGAAGGTGACTACAGTACGGACTGTAAGTTGAGTGGAAGGTGACTACAGTTCGCACTGTAAGCTGAGTGGAAGGTGACTACAGTACGCACTGTAAGCTGAGTGGAAGGTGACTGCAGTACGCACTGTAAGCTGAGGGAAGGTGACTACAGTACGCACTGTAAGCTGAGTGGAAAGTGACTACAGTACGCACTGTAAGCTGAGTGGAAGGGCACTACAGCACGCACTGTAAGCTGAGGAAGGTGACTACAGTCACGGACTGTAAGCTGAGGAAGGTGACTACAGTACGGACTGTAAGCTGAGGGAAGGTGACTACAGCACGGACTGTAAGCTGAGGGAAGGTGACTACAGCACGCACTGTAAGCTGAGTGGAAGGTGACTACAGGGACGGACTGTAAGCTGAGGGAAGGTGACTACAGTGCGCACTGTAAGCTGAGGGAAGGTGACTACAGTATGCACTGTAAGCTGAGGGAAGGTGACTACAGTACGCACTGTAAGCTGAGTGGAAGGTGACTACAGGACGGACTGTAAGCTGAGGGAAGGTGACTACAGTACGCACTGTAAGCTGAGTGGAAGGTGACTACAGTATGCACTGTAAGCTGAGTGGAAGAGCACTACAGTACGCACTGTAAGCTGAGGGAAGGTGACTACAGTATGGACTGTAAGCTGAGGGAAGGTGACTACAGTACGGACTGTAAGCTGAGGGAAGGTGACTACAGTACGGACTGTAAGCTGAGGGAAGGTGACTACCGTACGGACTGTAAGCTGAGGGAAGGTGACTACAGTACGGACTGTAACAGGGGTGGAAATAAGTTTAAAATTGCTAGTGTACTCCGGTACAGTGGCACATGTAAAGTCACTTGCCCTGATAATTTCCCCACTATACCAACCGTTTTCTTGCTGATTTTTTAAATAAACAACATAATAAACATTGGGAAGTCAACTGGACACCGGTACAGTGTGATATACAAATTTGCTTTCCCGACAGAAAAAACACTGGACTCGGCTGTTGGGCAATGGGTTATTTTCAACCCTGCTGTAAGCTGAGTGGAAGGTGACTACACTACGCACTGTAAGCTGAGTGGAAGGTGACTACAGTACGCACTGTAAGCTGAGGGAAGGTGACTACAGTACGGACTGTAAGCTGAGGGAAGGTGACTACAGTACGCACTGTAAGCTGAGGGAAGGTGACTACAGTACGCACTGTAAGCTGAGTGGAAGGTGACTACAGGACGGACTGTAAGCTGAGGGAAGGAGACTACAGTACGCACTGTAAGCTGAGGGAAGGTGACTACAGTACGCACTGTAAGCTGAGGGAAGGTGACTACAGTACGCACTGTAAGCTGAGTGGAAGGTGACTACAGGACGGACTGTAAGCTGAGGGAAGGTGACTACAGTACGCACTGTAAGTTGAGTGGAAGGTGACTACAGTATGCACTGTAAGCTGAGTGGAAGAGCACTACAGTACGCACTGTAAGCTGAGGGAAGGTGACTACAGTATGGACTGTAAGCTGAGGGAAGGTGACTACAGTACGGACTGTAAGCTGAGGGAAGGTGACTACAGTACGGACTGTAAGCTGAGGGAAGGTGACTACCGTACGGACTGTAAGCTGAGGGAAGGTGACTACAGTACGGACTGTAACAGGGGTGGAAATAAGTTTAAAATTGCTAGTGTACTCCGGTACAGTGGCACATGTAAAGTCACTTGCCCTGATAATTTCCCCACTATACCAACCGTTTTCTTGCTGATTTTTTAAATAAACAACATAATAAACATTGGGAAGTCAACTGGACACCGGTACAGTGTGATATACAAATTTGCTTTCCCGACAGAAAAAACACTGGACTCGGCTGTTGGGCAATGGGTTATTTTCAACCCTGCTGTAAGCTGAGTGGAAGGTGACTACAGTACGCACTGTAAGCTGAGTGGAAGGGCACTACAGTACGCACTGTAAGCTGAGGGAAGGTGACTACAGTACGGACTGTAAGCTGAGGGAAGGTGACTACAGTACGCACTGTAAGCTGAGGGAAGGTGACTACAGTACGCACTGTAAGCTGAGTGGAAGGTGACTACAGGACGGACTGTAAGCTGAGGGAAGGTGACTACAGTACGCACTGTAAGCTGAGGGAAGGTGACTACAGTACGCACTGTAAGCTGAGGGGAAGGTGACTACAGTACGCACTGTAAGCTGAGTGGAAGGTGACTACAGGACGGACTGTAAGCTGAGGGAAGGTGACTACAGTACGCACTGTAAGTTGAGTGGAAGGTGACTACAGTATGCACTGTAAGCTGAGTGGAAGAGCACTACAGTACGCACTGTAAGCTGAGGGAAGGTGACTACAGTATGGACTGTAAGCTGAGGGAAGGTGACTACAGTGCAGTTGTAAGCTGAGGGAAGGTGACTACAGTCACGGACTGTAAGCTGAGGGAAGGTGACTACCGCACGGACTGTAAGCTGAGGGAAGGTGACTACAGGGCCGGACTGTAAGCTGAGGAAGGTGACTACAGCACGCACTGTAAGCTGAGGGAAGGTGACTACAGCACGCACACTGTAAGCTGAGGGAAGGTGACTACAGCACGCACTGTAAGCTGAGTGGAAGGTGACTACAGGATCGGACTGTAAGCTGAGGGGAAGGTGACTACAGTACGCACTGTAAGCTGAGTGGAAGGTGACTACAGTATGCACTGTAAGCTGAGTGGAAGAGCACTACAGTACGCACTGTAAGCTGAGGGAAGGTGACTACAGTATGGACTGTAAGCTGAGGGAAGGTGACTACAGTAATGGACTGTAAGCTGAGGGAAGGTGACTACCGTGCATCGGACTGTAAGCTGAGGGAAGGTGACTACAGTAACGGACTGTAACAGGGGTGGAAATAAGTTTAAAATTGCTAGTGTACTCGGTACAGTGGCGCATGTAAAGTCACTTGCCCTGATAATTTCCCCACTATACCAACCGCGTTTTCTTGCTGATTTTTTAAATAAACAACATAATAAACATTGGGAAGTCAACTGGACACGGTACAGTGTGATATACAAATTTGCTTTCCCGACAGAAAAAACACTGGACTCGGCTGTTGGGCAATGGGTTATTTTCAACCCTGCTGTAAGCTGAGTGGAAGGTGACTACAGTACGCACTGTAAGCTGAGTGGAAGGGCACTACAGTACGCACTGTAAGCTGAGGGAAGGTGACTACAGCAACTGGACTGTAAGCTGAGGGGAAGGTGACTACAGTACGCACTGTAAGCTGAGGAAGGTGACTACACAGTGCACGACTGTAAGCTGAGTGGAAGGTGACTACAGGACCCGGACTGTAAGCTGAGGGAAGGTGACTACAGTACGCACTGTAAGCTGAGGGAAGGTGACTACAGTACGCACTGTAAGCTGAGGGAAGGTGACTACAGTACGCACTGTAAGCTGAGTGGAAGGTGACTACAGGACGGACTGTAAGCTGAGGGAAGGTGACTACAGTACGCACTGTAAGCTGAGTGGAAGGTGACTACAGTATGCACTGTAAGCTGAGTGGAAGAGCACTACAATGCGCGCACTGTAAGCTGAGGAAGGTGACTACAGTATGCACTGTAAGCTGAGGGAAGGTGACTACAGTACGGACTGTAAGCTGAGGGAAGGTGACTACAGTACGGACTGTAAGCTGAGGGAAGGTGACTACCGTACGGACTGTAAGCTGAGGGAAGGTGACTACAGTACGGACTGTAACAGGGGTGGAAATAAGTTTAAAATTGCTAGTGTGCTCCGGCACAGTGGCACATGTAAAGTCACTCTTGCCCTGATAATTTCCCCACTATACCAACGTTTTTCTTGCTGATTTTTTAAATAAACAACATAATAAACATTGGGAAGTCAACTGGACACGGGTACAGTGTGATATACAAATTTGCTTTCCCGACAGAAAAAACACTGGACTCGGCTGTTGGGCAATGGGTTATTTTCAA